CTAAAATATGAACACTGTGATTACCCTCAAGTTGTTGTTCAATTTTAACAAAATTTTATATACACATATAAAGTGATATGAACTTTCAATCTAACGGTTAGATTTACAAAATTCATAATTAATATAAAGTTATTGAGCAGTGTAACTCTCAGTAAAAGTTATACTGGTGTTGTTTGAACCGTCCTCATATATATAAACGACACCGGTGTCGTTAGATTGAAATTTCTTTATTCTTAGATCATATATACAAAATTTTATATTAATCCAAGATGATTTGATACTTTATTCTTATAAAACAAAATTGACGTAATATATTTATTTCAAAATATACTAAAATATGAACACTTTGATTACCTTCGAGTTGTTATTCAATTTTGACAAAATTTGATATACACATATAAAGTGATATGAATTTTCAATCTAACAGTTGAATTTACAAAATTTATAATTAATATAAAGTTATTGAGCGGTGTAACACTTAGTAAAAATTACATCGGTGTCGTTTGAACCCTCCTCTATATATATATATATATATATAAGTAACAATATCATATCGATAAAAGTAACTGGACCTACAAAAATCAAACCACTGAGAGCGATATGGCGAAATTGGGAGACGAGACATGCAAAAGTGCAGGAACTTCACAAATGATTGTTGGTTTATAATAAGAAATTTATTTATTTTCTTTTTAAAAAAATGCCTCGGGTTTAAATCTTATAAATAAAATAACAAATGTTATGAAAAATTATTTCCTACTCTAATCCATCTATTGGACTTAAATAATAGAGATTATATGTGTCTTTCGTGATCAAAGATAAGGAAGAAATTAAAAAGTGTCTCCAACTATCTGGATGTGAATGGCGACAGCCAAATCAGCATATCCCCAACAACAGACAATTATCAGAGAACCCTTGGAAGCCAAATTCTACGAGACTAGCTCCAGCTCGTTGTGAGAAGGACGATTTGCAACACCAACCACTTTCTACAATTTTTTATTTTATTTTTTATAATATTATTAATAAAAAAAATATATGTACAAATTTTGTCGATAATTGTCTCCTTTTTCTAGTTATGATTTTTTCTTTCACAATAATCAAACTTGAGATCTTACTTATCAGAACTGTGTCCATTTTCATTTAGATAAAAACTCTCTCTTATTAGGATTCAAGAAGATAAATAGATATATAGATATCTCTCTTCTAAACACAAATTAATTAGGAGAGAAATGATTAAACAAAAAGAGAGAAAATTAATTTTAAAAAATAGTTTGAATTATTGACAAATTTAATATTTTTAAATTAATTAAGTAATTTTCTTAATTAATATAATTTAATTAAAAAAAGTATTATAATTAGGGAGGAAAAGCTGTTTTTCAAATCCTTGGATTTCGATATCGACATGCATCCTCATGAAAATCTAGTTCAAGGGAGTTGAAGAAAACCAGTTACTAATTATATATGTGAAACACGATTTAAAGTTGAAATAAAACGTGTAAAAGATTAAATATGATAATACATGGTGAAGTGGAGTTGAGATAAACGTTTTAATTCTTTTGGAAATTGTTTAAGCGTGATTATTAATCGTAGTGGACGACTTGGAAACTACGGCGTGAGGGGTTCACATATTTAATGAAGAAGAAATTGGCGAGTGTATGACTCATCAAATTTGGCAAGGGAAGGATTTTTAAAATTAAACTAAAATATAGAAAATTAATACATTATAAAAAAAGAAAAAGGATGAATGTTTATACATTTTAAAAAGAAACAGATGTATTAACTTGAACCGTAGCTGTAGCCGGTGACGAGAAACGAATTTTGACTCTTATATGAATGTAAAAAATTCAAATTAGCAAAAAAAAGTCTATATATTTAATATTTGTCAAATTTAAAAAAAAAGGAAAATATTCCTTAGTAATCAACTAACTAAAAAAAGAAAGAGATGTATATAATTAGTTTAATTAAAATGGGCATTGATTTTTTTTTTTAAAGTTAGAAATGGAGAAAGAAAAAACTGGGAAATTAATTTATTTTCAAGTGACTGAAATTTAATAGATACGAGTACACAATGTATGTAGATGCTTTGATTCAGAAGGAATGAAAAGAGGAGAAAGCAATAAGAAAAGGAAACACTATATTAAGAAAGAAGTACAATGGTATCAGCCAAGAGAAGAAGCTCCATGCATGACTCCATCTCCATCCAAGAAGGTGGAGAGTCCCATACACTTAACTCATCAGCATTGGATTCCCCTTTCTTGGAAATAAGCTGAAACGTTGCCTCTCACAACAAAACAAGGGAATCATACTTCGTGTTTAAATTAATTCTAATTCTTTATTTTTTATATAAAAAAATAGAACTAACATACTTCACAAAATTGATTTTAGTTAAAAAATACAATTACACAAATTGATTTGTATTTAAAAAGAAATTTTGGAATTAAAAATATTGTTAATTTGGAAAATATATTTTTAATTAATCTCTATCTTATGGATCAAACACAGTAAAGGTTATATGAGAAAGTTATTTGGTATTAGAAAAGGACTCAACAATGTTGTCAATTCTACATTAATTTTAGTAAAAACAATGTAAAAAAAAAATGTTGTGACATTTTTGTAATTTTTTTTTTGTAAAATGTAAAGCATGTTTACATCGATTTTAAGGACAAATAATGTAAATATTGAGTATTTTATATCGGTTTATGAGGGATCACTGTGGTATTGAAAATACGGTTATAATTTTGTAAATAATTATAAAAATATAAACATATCTACATCGACTCACTCTATAACTGATATAGTATTAGCTTTACACTACTCGCATACCATCTCTACAAAAAGCCCTTGTCCTCTCCAAAGAAATCTTCCCTCCAAAGAAAGTATCATCATTCTCCATAGAAAGCATGCCCAACTATGTACTTTTCTTGGACTGTGAAAAACATCATCATCCAAAGCTCTAATCATAAGCACATGATAAGTGCCTAAATTACATGTTCTTATCTTTGATTTGACTTTTTTTTGGGAGAGATGTAATTAATTTTGGTTGTATTTGACCCCCTAAATAGATAAATTGAGATTAATCTAAGAAGTTACAAGAGTGTAGTTTTCTTTGACTAAAAATATCTCTCTTTTGTGTAGATTTTGATGAAGTTGGATATCTAAGGCTATAGCTCCAAAGCCAGAGCTACAGCCACAGAACCTGAGACAAAAAGAAGTATTACAGAAAGTTGAAGCTTTAGCCATGAAGCTGGAGCTCCAGCCTAGGGAAATAGAGCATTATGGACAATCCAGACATCCAAAGCTACAACCCCCATTTCAGAGCTGGAGCTCTAGTGTTTTCTTCGTCCTAAAGTACTTTCTAGAGTCGCAGCCACAGATATAGAGCTGTAGCCTTGGGTTAAAAATCCAAACTTTCCATTGTTTTAGACAAAACATATATAAAGGATTAAAAAGAGAGAAGGGATGGACAGAGACACATAGAGAGAAAGAAACTCCAGGAGAAATAGAGAGCCTAAAAATTAGATTTGAAGATTGGATTGCTTGGGAATGAGGACCCATTTTCGCTTCTTTTTCTATTGTGTAATTTCTTCTTTGTTTTTGATATGGCCTTCACTATGAGAGACTAGTTTCTCTTAGATTGGATTCATCGTAACTACTAACTCTATTTCTTCTTAAATCTATATAATATTCAATTCCATTACTTGTGTTTGATTTTTCTTTAAATGCTTAATCTGATTTGATCACTCATTTTATGATTTTTGGTTTTTGAACTCTATTGGGGAATGTTTTCGAAAGCCTGAACTAATCACACACCTAACAATCTCTTGTTCTAGGAATAAACTTGATTTTGTTAGCCACTTTTGTTCAAGTTGTTGTTCTTAATGCAATGTGTTAATCTTAAATCATAGATGAATCATGTTTATGATTAATCACCTCAGGGCCCAATTTTGAGGAATTTGGTTGAGTTATTTAATGAACGTGGAAGTAATCGAATTGGAATCATATTTATTTAATGAAGATTAAAGAGTTAGAAAGTACATTTGAATCCAATTTCTTTCTCATATAAAATTTTCTATTAATGTTGCACTATTGCTTTTATTTGCTCTATTATAAATTTAAATAAATATTTCAACCATGTTCTACACAAACTAGATAGGAAAATACTATATAGGAGCACCAAATCTTTGAGGATGATATCAAATTACTACAACAAAACTTGGTCTGCTTGCCAAGAGTGAAAAACCATCACCAAGTCTCTAGTGTCGTTGCTGGGGATTTGGCACTGATATTTAGTAATTTCTATTTCTTGTGATTTTGTGAATAGTTCATTTTATGAATACTTATATCATATATATAGTTGTCTTGTTTCTTGAACTCACCCATCTGTGCAGACTTCTTGTACTTGTATGCAAGGAAAGACTCCAGCCGAAGAATTACACTTTGAGGCTGAAATTAAGAGAACAACAAGGAGAAATAATAGTAGGACAAGGAGACTTAGACAGTTGGAAAGACTCCAGAAGTAATAGTAGGAATTCTTTGTTCCATCTTCATCAACTTCTTCCAATCAACCATTCCCTGAAATAGAAATGGTTGAAGAAGGAGAAGGTACTCACAATGGTGGACCTAGACCAGCTAGGCCTCCTAGAAAGACCTTAGGAGATTATGCTTAACAACAAGGTCCAAGGCAATTCTCTAGTATTGTAGCTCCAAATACTTCTAGAGCCATGGAAATGAAACCTATTTTTCTCAACTTGGTTAGCTCACAAAAATTTTCTGAACTTGACCATGAAGATCCGTACTCACATCTTTCAAATTTTTATGAGCTTTGTGGTACAATGGGCATTCTTGAAGGTGATGAAGAAGGTGTATACTTGAGGTTATTTCCATTTTCCTTAATAGGAAAAGCTAAAATATGGCTACAATCTCATCCTAATCAAAGTCTGACAAGCTGGAGTGATGTGGAGAATAAGTTTGTGAATAGATTTTGTCCTTCATCCAAGTATATCAAGGTCAAATCAGAAATCACTACTTTTAGGCAAGGTGTGGATGAACCATTTTGTGAAGCATGGGAGAGATTTAATTCTTTGCTCAGAAAATGTCTTAACCATGGGTTTGAAGACATAGCTTAGCTCTATTTCTTTGTTAATCTAATCAAACCTGAGGTGAAGATGTTATTGGACGTAGCAGCTGGTGGTACTATGGTGTCTGTAGGCCTAAATGAAGCTACTCTAATCAGAGTCTTTGGCATCCTCTAATCAATAAGTAGAGCTTGGTAGACATCAATCTCACAAAAGAGGAATTATGGATCTAAGCACTAATGATTCAATCCTTGCTCAAAATAAGTTGCTACCTCAACATATTGAAGTCTTGACTAAGCAAATGGCCAAGATACCACAACAACTCCATGCCATAAATTCCCCTCTAGCTCAAACAAACCCTCCACTTAGATGTGATTTTTGTGGGGGAGATCACCCAAATGGTTTTTGCACAGAAACTCCAATGAATAAGAGGTTAATTACTTGGGTAACCAACAAAGGGTAAGTAATTTTAATTTATGCAATTATAATACTAACAATTTTATGTAGGGAA